CTGATTGCTGTGTTGCTTCTCACACGTTCATTGTATCTGGGAGCCATCTTTCAGCTAAAAATGGGAGTGTCATCTGGAAAGTCATGGGAGTTCACAACATACAATGCAAATATTAAGTGTGGCCAGTAGAGGCCCCGGTACACAAAGGAAAATAATTATAGTGAAAACAATTGGCAGATGTGATGTACTTGTCCAATGTAAACTCCACAAGAGCATAAAGCAGAGCACACAAGAGTCTACGAATGTAATTGATCCCATCCTCATGAGTAGAATGGGGAATATTCATTATTTTTATAATCTTTAAGTGTCGGACTGTTTTGCCTGCATATATGTTTGCTCACCATGGGATATTAGGGTTACAATGGTTGTGAGGTGCCATATGGGTGCTGGGAATTGAACCTGAGTCCTCTGGAAGCACAACCTGTACTCTTAACTGCTGAACCAACTCTCCAGGCTCCATCTTCAATCTCTGAGGACCCACAAAGAAGCTGCTCCAGCACATTATCCTTTTAAAGTTTCCTGTAATTCTTCACTCCTTTGCATATTTAACAGATTTTTATTTCATTGTATTTAAATTTTTCTTTTAAGAATGTTTGCTATATTCACATATTCCTTCATATATATATATATATATATAAAATTTTGGTTATACAATTCTTTCATTCTTGGGCAATATTCCATTTTTCTTCCTTCCTAATTTATATGTATTACTATTTTGACTTCATTTTCAATAGTTTCACACCTTTCTTTAATTCCTTTTCTTACTTTTACCTGATTGTGTTTTAGCCATTTTGCACAACTTGCAAACACTTTTTTTCCATTTTATCTTGACCCCCTAATGTCTCACTGTTCTGTTCCCTTCTCTACAGCATTCTTCTCTACTCTTTCTCTTATTTAACTGTGTATATTCTCTGTTCTTTCCCTGTCTCCTTCCATTAACTTATTTATTTACTATTTCTATACCCTAAATAATTTGAAACTTCATAGCACATTATGTAGTACTTTGCCATTTTTCTGTTTTATGATCATTAGAGAGGAAAAAGTAAAAATTAAAAGTAAAAATATCTACTCTGGATCCCTAGGTAAGGAGAAAAGTTGATAAGGTAGCAGCAGACACTTGCAGGAGACTAAAGCATTATTCAGGATAAAGGGGAAATGCTTCTTTCAAGAAAATAGTTGCATTGAGCATATTTATAAGCTAAGAGAATGGTTGAGTTGAGACGAAGAGATGTAAAATATTGTGGAGAAAAAGTGCATGGATTATACCCATTAGTGATTAATTGTGAATCACCAATTAAGGAAAGAAGTAAAAACACTCCTCTAGGGGCCATTTAACCAAGAGCAAGTCCAGAGCTGAATTCTTTACTTCATGATCCATGTGTTTTCTGTCCACTGTCTGTTGTATGACTATGAATCTATACCTGTCGGAAAGCTATCTTGTGAATCTGTTTGTCCCCCATGTCTCCGTCTCTGTGTGTATCTACATAGGGTGTCTCTGTGTCTGTTGTATGAGCTGAATGCATCTGTTTTTATGAGTGGTGTCTGTTCCTAACAAAGGACTTCCCTATGTCTTTACTGAACAGCATGCAAAGTATCATATGGGGAAAGAATGAGATATACTGCAGAACTCTTTAACAGAGTTTTACAAGGGATTAAGTCACTGGATCCCACCGATCCCAAATAGCATAGACAATAAACATCCCTGTTTATTGACCAATATTCATAAATGGTTGTTCTTAACCTTTATGGTGAATTTAGGAAATTGCTTTCAACTTCTCTATTTTTGCTTTCAGAAAACAATATATCTGCATTACTTTGGGCCAGGGGCATGGAAGAGTACCTAACTTCAGACTGTAGTTATACATTATCTTAGGTTGTAAATCGAGATTACATGGAATTCTAAGGCGAGTAAAGGTGTTACATTGTTCTCTTAAAGGTAATTTAAACAGTTTGAGTACACAGTAGACTATCAGTCTTAACTCTTAAGTAACATTTAAGGCGTATTATTAACTTTGACTGTGAAGTCCAGCAAAAGTTCCAGTCTCTTATAATGTAAGGGATATTTTTCATAATATTGCATCTCTTCAGAAAAGGGAATGAATAAGGTAAGAATTTTGAGGGGCTGGATGAGACAATCATCAGTAACTCGGCTGGGCGATTTAACTGTATGTAGTCAATGCCAATGTGGAAGGACGCTAAATATTTGAGGGCATTTTCCTTCTACTCACCTCCATCTTGCTTCTTGGTTATATATACTCCTTTATCTGTGATGAAATGAGCCCATTTTCTCTCCCTGACTGGAAGCTTTCACAAAAGCAGGCCTTTTAAAATAAATTCTCTTTTGTTGTTGCTTTTTTACCATTTTAAAAATGAGTAGCATGATTTTTTTCTTTGAAACTATAATTATCCCTCAGATAGAGAAAATTTTCCAAAATCTTTAATATGGCACACAGACATTACACAATCTGTTTCAAATCTAGCTTGTCTGTACTCAACTCTATTGCACAATTATTCTGTTCTGATCATAATATAGACAGAATATGTTTTAGTCAAAATCTCTGTGGTGGTTTGAGTGAGACTGTTCCTGTTTGTTCATGTATGGTGATGCTGTTTGGGGAAATTTAGGAGCTGTAGTCTTTTTGGAGGAAGTTTGTCAACTGGAGGCAAGCTTTGAGAATTTAAATACTCTGTTCCAATTTTACTTTCTCTGCTTCATGATTGTGGTTCAGAATGTGAACTCTCAGCTTGTTCCTCCTGCAGCCATGTCTGCAGCTTGCTGCCATGCCTCTCCACCATCATAGACTCCAAACCCCTGGAACAGAATTCCCAAAATAAACTCATCCCCCCTCAAATTGTCTTGGTCATGGTGTTTTATTACAGCAATATAAAATTAATTAATAAGCTCCCCTGCTTTACCCTGACAGCATTGTTTACTTTCACATCCTTTTTCCATTGCATGGAATTCTTTTTTGAGTCAGGTTTCTCTGTATCTTTGGAACCTGTCCTGGAATTCACTTTGTAGACAAAGCTGGCCTTGAACTCACAACTCACCAGAGATCTGCCTGTCTCTGCCTCCCGAGTGCTGGGATTAAAGGTGTGCACCACCACTGCCCGGTTTTGAATTCTTATGTGTTTTGAAAATCTCACACTCACCTGTCAATATGCAGAACAATTGTACATCCAGCATGAATTTATATGTTTATGAATCATGTCTACTTGGTCTACTATGTACATCTACTGTGTCAACACGGGGCTTGTCTATGAAAAAAATCATTGACTTGTAATTGTAGAGGTGAATAAAAGAGAAAGATAAGTTTTTCTTTTAGTTTTGTAGAGTGTCTCATTAATGGATATAATGGACCTTTATAGTTTCTCAACCTTTTGAAATGTGGATAAAGGTTTTCAGGGATCACAAACTCCCAGTCTCTAGAATAGTTACCCTTGAAATGTAAACACATATCTTTCTTCAAAGTTACTATAGGACCCCATATCAAGGTGCAACCTTTCTGGAATATGTATTTTATCATTCTGGAGATGTTTTAATATCTTTTTTGAGTAAGACAATTAGTTAAGCAAACATTTACCTCAAATGTCAAGTGAACTTAATATGGAAATTCTGCAGAATCTCATCTTAAATTTGCTGTGCCTTGAAGGCTACCTATCTGCATGTACTTTTTTGTGTTTACTCAGTAAATCGCCTTGTTTCTTCACATTATTTGTGTAGACAAGCCTGTTTGTTGATAGGAGTTATTTCTTTAGCAGTATGGTAGAAGCAGATATATCATGTGACCAAAGGAATACAATTTAGTGTTTAAACTCCTGTGAAAATACTCACCTTTCCTTAATATTTCCTGGCTCTCGGGTTACTTTGTAAAGTTCTTACCATATGGCATAGCTATTTTTATACTTTCTAAAATGTTCAAATATTTCATTACATTGTCGTTTAGCAGAGTGCATTTTGTAAATATGCATGTGTTGTTTATACGTTGTTATGTTCAGAATTAATGACATGTTTTCATCTTATAATTACACATTTCAGAAATTTTAAGTCTGACTTTAATAAGATCAATAGCCCTTACAAATGGCACAAAAAATGTTTTGTGTATAGCCACTGCTTACAGGTCAGTTCTTAGTATCCATATTTTAACACTATCATGTAGTCTGGGAACGATCACTGGATGCTCATGAGTTCATGGGTTCACATTGATTTATTTTCCAGATGAACACAGAAAATGTACATGGTCACTTTATATATTTCAATCTGAGGAACTGCGAAACCAGTCGACAGCTGGGTGACTAAGGGCTGCCATCAGAATTAAATCAGACTACACTTGGAGGACTTTTTTAAGCTGAAATGTTCAACCAGTGTGTATTTTGTCTTGTATTGTATATAGTGATGAGCCATTGACAAACAGCTCCTTTTTACAGAGTGTTTACGCTGTGTCACAGTGGGTTATGTATGTTAAGCCCTTTACATACTTTCTCTCTTCAGCCTTGTAAGTACTCAGTGGGTACCATATTTCTTATTTTACAGATGAAGAAACAGATTTAGAGAGGTTAGTTATCTAGCCCCAGGAAAAGAGCAGAAATTCAAATTTGGTTGTATTTCCAAAACCCATTCTCCTAATCAGAGGCAAGTGAGAGGTGGAAGTTTTATAAAGATCACTCTAGTAGAAGTCTGAGAAAAGACTGCAGGAAAACAAAATAGAACAAAAACAAAACATTCCCCATAGCTCAGATGCCAATACGGTAGCGGATCTTAACCTAAGTCTCCAAGCCTCTCCATTTCAGAACATCCTGGACCTCTCTCCACCATTTCTGACCTTGACATTAGGGTCTACCTAAGAAGTGGGGTTTTGTTCACTTTTTCTAGGTCGCGAACCAACTAGTCTAAGGAGCAGACAGCCGCACCAGTGGTCCCCGGCGGGGTGGGGCGCATGCGCGCGGTTGCTAAGAAACGGCGATCCAGGCGCCGCGGTGGTAAGTGCGCCGGGGCTGTGTGTGTAGGCAGCAGCGCCGGAGGAAGAGGAGCACGAGGATGCAGCTGCTACCGTGGCCCCAAGAGGGAGCAGCCACTGTTCTGTGGTCGCGGGGGCCAAGAAATTGGAATTAAGCCTGGGGGTCCTGTTGTTGAGGTGACCAGGGCAGACGGTCTTGCCAGAAGCTCAGGCCTAGTATCCGGGGAGAGTTCGGTCCGCTGGGCGAAGGCCTGCCGCCTTTGCTTCCTTCTGGCCCTCCAAGTCGATGGTGGTGAAGTTGGTGGCCGCCAGAGGCACAAGCACCAGGCTGCTTCTCATGCACCCAGCGCTTTTCTGGCCCTGCTTGGACAGCTGCGACGCCGCCTCCTCTCGCCGGTGGATCCCACCCTCAGCGGCGGGGGAGGGGGAAAGTTTTCCCCTCTGCCGGGCTGTGTGGTGCAGGGCGACAACGAGACCTTAGGAGAGTAGGGGTGAGTAGTGGCACCGCAGTCGCCAGGTGCTGGAGCTGTTTTCTGGTCTCAGGGTATCTGGGGCCCCAGCAGGTCAGGGAAGCTCTGCTTTCTCATTCAGAAGCTTCCGACACCCTTCCTGCGTCTGCTCGCGGGTAATTTCTTCCAGATAGTTTTCCTTCTCAAAGGCACCACTTTCTGATCTCGACCCTGGCTTCCAGAAAAAAAAAAAGTGTAGGTGATTAAGGCCTGGCAGTGCTTCTTAGATGCTGATGATTCGAAGTACAGTCATGCACCCTGGTCTCTGATTTCCAGACAGAGTCTCCTAGTGCCCCGTTCACCCATTTCTCCTTGCTCTAACTGTGGTTCCGACTCTTGGTCACAGGAGACAGTCTGACCTGACCTCAGGCTTGTCCAGAGCCCATCCTCCACAGTGCTGTTGCTTCATGACTGAAGAATTGACCAGATAGCTTGAGTGGTGCCTTAATTTTCAGTATTCTTTATACTCGTGTGCAATCAGCTTGTGCAAACCATATGCCTAGCTCCTGGCTCCTAGCATGTTAGATTAGGCAGATACTATGTTAATAATCGTAATAATAATGATAATAAGACAACACTAGTAATATGTTCTATTTGACAGCCTAAATACCATCAAACTTGAGACGTAGACATAGTAGATGATTGACAATAGGGAGAACACGTTCTACAAAGTACTCTTCATCCAGAATGACGCACTTCTGCATTTAAAAATGTGTTGACGAGACTTAAGATGCTCCTAATAAAAATATGTGATCTGTTTGTTCTTCGTAAAGTAGGCTAGAGTCGGAAATAGTCACTTCCCAAGAACTTTGGCATGAGACACCCGGAGTGAGAGTCTGGATACCATGATTAGATGAGGCTCTAAAGTTACAAGGTGTTTTGGCAAGAATATTATTTTGAGGTGCGAGACTGCTTTTTAAAAGGTAGATGGCTGAGAAAATGTACAGTTCCTGTTGACCCTTTCCGAAAGTGAGCTCAATTTGAAATGATGTATAATTTTAATTGGGAGGCACTTCTGTGGGCTGACAACAAAGGTGGGTTCTTTTGTTTCACTTTCTTCCATCCTGACAGTTTTAAGCCATTTCAGGTCTCTTATCTAAAAAGAAGTGGTGAGAAAGAAGCACACTGATGGGAAGGCTAAATTTAGTTTTCGGTAACCCTTTTAAGCTAAGGAACTTTAAAAGGATGTAGATGCCATTTGTGATTAGGTAACTTTGGCTAGTGAGGCTGCCAGTTTTAAAGCTGGCAGTTTAACACTGCCAATTTTCTGATAGTTTTAGCTAAAATGCTTTGTATGGAGTGCTTTTGTGTTTGAGTTACTCTTGTGCTTAAAGTCAAATACCAGGGAAGAATAGTTTTCTACCTCAGTGTGAATTATCTGTTGTGCACGAAATTTCAGACTTATAGGTGGTTTCTGTTTGGGAAAGGTCTTGATGAATTCGACTCTTGTTTATTTGAATTACTATTAGCTCTAAAGGAGAAAAATTCCATGGAAATATGGCCAGAGAGTTAGCACATACCCCAGAGCTTTCACATGAACAGTCATAATCCCCTGATCAAATGGCTTTGTGTTTTCCAAGTGCTGCCAGGGAGCTTGATCACTGAACTCTGGAATGAAGTTTGGTTTTGCTTGCTTTTTTTAAAAAAATATTTTCATAGACTTTTATTGAGCTTTTATTTTCTAGATTCTACCCGGTGTCCACCACTGTGGTGGAATTGAAGAGAGTAGATTAGAAAGAGGTTTCAGGTCTGTTGGTGTTGCTCGGGAGAGAACACCTATCTAGCATGCACTTGAAGCATAAGTTCCTGGGTCCGAATGCCAGTAACTGGTAGCTGAAATAAAAACAAAATACCAATAGAAACAGTTCTGAGGAGTTCAATTGCAGGTAAGATATATTAATGAGAACATAGAAAAGTACAGAATAAGAGCTTAAAAAAAAATGAAGAGTAAAGGGAGATCACCAAAGGCTAAGGGTTGTCTGGGAAGGCTTCATGTAAAAGTCATCTTTGCTCTTGAAATTTTAGGCTTCATTGGAAGGAGGAAAAGTTCATCATATTGCCATTAGATTAACTAAAAGGGAAAATGATAGCCTGCAGCAGTTAACTTTCTTGACGTGAGCCAACTTTTTATGCTATATTATAATTTAATAAATGAAATACTAATAACTTTGCAATGTACATGTTATGGAAGTTAGTTTATAATCATCCTATCTTGGGGCATGTGAGGATGTTTTCTAAGAAGATACAAATAATTAAGTTAATGTATTTTATAAATGTGCATTTTTACTGTATAGTAAAACACGACTATGCTTGAAGTGTTTTATACAAAACTTGTATAATAAACCGAACCTTATATTATTAATATGCTCCAAAGTCTGTTTCCAGATAAATTCTATGAGCAACATGAATTTTTATTCGTTGAATTATACAGCATTGTTTGTCATAGACTACTGTGTATGATAAAGGAAAGAGCTATATTAGGGTCTTGAAATTGATACCTGTCAAAGTTCTAGTATGTTAATATCTGGCAAGTAACATATGTTTAAACTTCAATCATAAACCTTTGTAAAACTTACTTTAGTCCATGTCAAAAATTCTTTGCTGTTAAAAATTGGTTACATGTTAACAGTCCCTAGGTTTTGGCCCACTATTATAAGCTAATGTTTTCATATAGCAAAATAACACACCATACTGCAATTAGAGATGATTGCTGATTTACTCTAACTTCTTTCAAAATTTTACTGCTTTTGTATAAATGCAGTATGAATTCACTAAAAACTACTTTTTCTTTATTATGATACTATTTATTCCACCGTTTGTCTTTGTCTGACCACCACTGGTACTGCATCCTTTCAAAGCAGACCATACACAGTTAAAGCCAAGTGAAGGGTAGAGTTCCACCCTTAAATATTAAACAGCCATTTTAGAAAACACATACTTGGTGATGGAACGTGACCATCATCTGTCAAACATGGAGAGGCCAGATAGCATTTGCTACGGAAATGAGGTAGGAAGGAATATTTCAAGCTGCTTAAACTAGTTGTCTTAAAGAGACTTCTTCCAAAATGACGAAGGACTGCGAGGGATACTATCACCCACTGATACAAGGGGTCGGATCTAATGAGAGTTTACCAAGGCCAGATGGACCGTGACTGAACGAGCATGTGATCCAACCAGATTCTCTGAATGTGGCCGGATTTTCTGAATGTGGCTGGCCTGCAGTCTTTCCGAGAAGCCATTGACAATGACACTGGGACTGGTTTCCTCTGCATATACTGGATTTTTGGGATCCAGTCTGTTTGGATGCTCACCTTCCTGGACCTGGAGTGAGGGGGGAGGAACTTGGACTTCCCACAGGGCAGGAGACCCTGACTTCCCTAGGGGACAAAGAGGGAGGAGGAGAGGGAGGGGGGGAGTGGGAGGGCGTTGAGAGGAGGGGCGTAAATGGAAACTTTTTATAATTTAATAAAATTACAAAAAAAAAAAAAAGAGACTTCTTCCACTGTCAGAGCGCTTGGATAGCCTCCTGGTCAGTCACCTGGAATCAGTTCTTCTCATAACTGATGAACTTGGCTGCTGCTTTGGAAAGAGAACCACTTTTTCCTATACTTCCTTGCAGTATTACTTTAGGATTTTTACAGAACTAGAAGATTTTAGGACGATTTTTTGTTTCTTTTCTTTTTTAAGGATCTTGGTTTTTATAGTTTTAGGTCTTTTCCATGCTGGTTTGAATTTTCTACATTTGTGTCTTGTAATGTTCTGCAAGTTGTATCTTGTACGGAGTTCTTCATTGGAGCTTTGCTTTTCTCCTTGTACATGTTGGCTTTTGTCAACTTGACATAAGCTATTTATTATGTCATTTTAGAAGAGGGAATCTCAATTGAGAAAATGCTCAAACTGGCCTGTGGGAAGGCCTGTGATGCATTTTGTTGATTTAAGATTGGTGTGGTAGACCCTAGCCCATTGTGGGCCAGGTCAACTGTGGGCAGGTGATTCTGGGTTCTATAAAAAAGCAGGCTGAACAAGCCACAGGAAGCCAGCCAGTAAGTAGCACCCCTCTATACCTCTGCTTCAGCTCTTGCCTCCAGGTTCTGACTTGAGTTTCTTCTTCAGCTTCTCTGGATGATAGACTACAAGCTATTAGATGAAATGTACTTCTTCCCCAAACATTTGGTTTTGGCCATGGTATTTTGTCACAGCGCTAGAAATCCTAACTAGGAGACTTCTCCTCATTGTCATCTTGTTTATCAACTACTTTCCCTTTTTGTCCTGTGGAATCCTTCTACCACTTCCAGGAGGTAGGCCACTTTCCAGTTATACTTAAGAATTTTACATGCTCTTCACCGTCATCTTCTTACTCTGCATCTTCTTCCACAGCTGCTAGCTGTCTATAAGTATGCACAGGTCCTGACCCATCCCGCAACCTGAAGGCCACAGGTGGTGCACTTTCAAAGTCCCCAAGGGAAACTGCCAGTTTTACAGACATTTTCAAAGCTGCCGGTGTTAACTTTGACTGTGTGCATACTATATGATTCAATATTCTCTAGCAGTGCTGGGCATTGCAATAATCTGTAGCTGCCGGTCAGCCATGAGAAGAACCATCCTCTTCAGTGTACTGTGTTGCTACCCTGTGATATTCAATAGGTTATGCGCATTAAGTCCAGTTTTTATTCACAAAGTTTTGAACTTTTGATTGAGTTATTGAGATGTAATCGCATCACAAGTTGAAAATCACCTGTATTATATCAAAAAGTTCTATGTTCTCTAAGGTAACTTTACATTTTAGAATTACAGGTGCAGAGAATATGCACTCTTGATCTAAGAAGTAATACACTCAAAGTTAAATTTGAGGCCTCTGTATTTTTCGTAAGTTGTTTTTTCTGAATACAGTAGAGTCTTACATGATAAATTTATTACTAACAAACAATAATTCAGTGTTTCTGGACTCAGCAAATATTGTTATTTCATAAAATCATCGTTTC